ATACGTACATACGTACATACATACTACATGCAAGCAGACACGGCAACTTATATGTGCACATAACCTGTATTCGTGTACATGTGAATCGGCGTCTCGTGACACTACCATGAAGGCTTGCCTGTACTGCTATCCCACTTTTGTTCCAATGCCTTGTATCCCTCGGTTGAGCCCATTCTGAGATGTGCGTCGTATGTTTCCTGGCAAGATGCATAGTTTGCTGACGATCGTCATCTATGTTCGGTCGGCGGCGAACATGATCGTCGTTGTTTGCTAAATGATCAACTGCACAGCTCAGTTTGATGCTCGGTGGATGCTGACCCTTCAGCCCGAAGATCTCAGGGCTTGGGGATGAGCAAGACCTGACAGCCATGGACAGGCGAAGCACAGGCATGGCAAGACAGCGAAAACGTTGCAAGAGTGAAGTCGTGGCCTCAGCCCGCTTGGATAGCAAGCCGTGGCCAGTCTTCGTTCACTTTGTCGCTCATCTTGAGCCTACATCTTGGTCCACAAGCTACGCACCTGGTCTTTGCAGGCTAGCAATTATCTCGTAGAGCAATGCAAGCGCCCGGGGGCGAGCAAGTTCAGGACAGTGTTTCGGATGCCAAAACTCTTAACCTACATTCAGCCGCGCCTCCCCGCGAGGTTCTGTCCTTGTTTAGGCTGGCTGGGCAGGTAGATACGTGCTTCGAGTGGTTGTACAGGCTAATCCGGAATCTCCATATGGTAGTTCTCAAATGGGGTAACTTTTAGGGACCTTTTGATAAATGTGCGTACTAGTTTGGGGACATAGGGACCCTAATCTAGAGAGCTACCCAGATGGTTCATTCCAAGGTACGAAGCGGCACTGGTCGTCCGAATAGCCTTGAAGTTCGGCATGACCGGCGCCCCTTCCCCAGTGTGAAGGTGGAATGGTGTTTCATGGCAAGGTTTTTTGTTGTTGGGTTTAGGGTTTAGGGTTTGGGGTTTAGGGTTTGGGGTTTAGGGTTTAGGGTTTAGGGTTTATCGTTTAGTGTGAGGATGCGTGTGTACTGGCCCTCGTGGCATAAGGAGAAGACTGCTGGTAGCATGAAGACACGGTTCATCAGGTAGCAAGCCGGGGCCTGGTGCTTGAGAGATCCGAAGACGAATGTCCATGGCTTTGGGGGGAGTTAGATGCAGATGATGTTGAAGCTTCTTCTTTCATACTTAGCTGAACAGGTGCAAGAATCCGTTTCCCATGTTTGTTTGTTTTTTTTTCCGGCTCCCGTGATACTCCGATGCATCGTGGAGGATTCAGGGGCATATTGAAGTGGTGCCAGAGACCCTAAACCCTAAACCCTAAACCCTAAACCCTAAACCCTAAACCCTAAATATGGTTCCGGAGGTGTGTAATCAACTGTTTGGCGAACGTATCAATGCTGCTGAACCCATCGTCAGGATCCTGGCGCCTTTACTGGGTTCCCTCTCGCCCTCTGAGTTTTCCCAGTTGTGAGAACCCTAAACCCTAAACCCTAAACCCTAAACCCTACCCCACCTTCACATGCAGAACTGAAGATCAAAATCTGTATATGCCCTGAGCGCCAAACCCCCAACCATGGGCCCATGCTTGCACGAAGCCATATGTTGCAAACTAGCAAAAGCAAGTTTACCGGGCCGAAGCGTCAGTTGCCATGTCGCCCCTGGCCCAGGCGGGGCTTTTTGGTCTAGGACCAAGTGACCAAGTGTCACGTGTTAACATGATCTAAATTGAAAAAACCTCGTTAAAGCTACGCCTGGCGCGTTCACCGTCATCCCACCGACTACAGCACAACCGGTCATATGATCAAAGTTTTCTTTTCGCAGTAGGACCTGGTCAGAGTCAAAGAGATTAAGCGCAGTCATTTCACAATGGCGAAGCAAGGACACTACTCACCGTGTATTGCGAAGGTTGCCGTCTCATACAAGTTACACTGTCGTGACTGATGAAGCTGGCAGGCTGCCATCACCTTCAATTATAGTTGCTTATCGCATTGTGTCGGTCTTCATCTATCGCAATAAGTGTCGTTATGTGTGCTCATTACAGCAGCAGTTTGTGCAGGCTTCTGGGTTATTTTAAATACAGAATCCAATATCAAAAAATGTACAGGTGTATGTATACATATATGTATATACGTAGATGTACAGATACATAGCTACAAGCATGGAGGTCTTAGGAATGAAGAGCTGCTTTCATGTCGTTGACACAGCCCTCCGGTCTTCCTGGAAGCATCGATCCCCGAGGGTTTGGGGTACAGGGTTTTTGGGTTCAGGGTTTAGGGTTTTAGGGTTTAGGCTTCAGGGTAACTCGGCTCCCGAAGACGAGGGTGACTCGGATCCCAAACTCCAAACCACGGTTTAGGGTTTAGGGTTTAGGGTTTAGGTTTAGGGCTTAGGGTTTAGGGTTGGCCCTAAACACGGAAACCCTTCAAGCCTAAGCTCAGCCTTGTGGCAACCCGTGTTGGAATCCTCTGCTGGCCCTGGAAGCCAGAAAGACAAAGCTCAC